GAAATCGCACATTTTCACCATCCGGACCCGTATCTCAGTTATGCATGGATGGATTTTGTTCAAATTTGGTACATATATTAAACATAATAGGACCTTGATGCACGTCTTTTTTTTTTTTCGGATCAAGTTCGAAATGGCCGACTGGCGGCCATTTTGTTAAAGAATTCAGTTCTGGATCCGTATCCAAGACATGTCTGGATTGATCAAGTTCAAACTTCACACACACACATGGTACATCATGTCACAAATAGATATGTGCATTTGTTTCATGATCTGCTTAACAATAGCGGAATGATGGCCATTTTAAGGCCGAAAATGCATCAAAATCACATATTTTCACAATTCCGGAACCGGATCTCAGTCATGCATGGATGGATTTTGTTCAGATTTAGCACAATGTGTTGTACATATGCAGGTGCATTTCGGTCATGATCTGTTTTGAATGTATATGTCACTCAAATATGAACGGAACGGGGACGTGTCATTGACAATGACTTGTTATATATTAATATTCACTTTTTTTTTAAATTATCATAGTTTGTTTCAATATGAATATGCATTGTCATAATTAATTTTGAATACAAACAAGTTTTGAAGATGAAACAACAGTTGTAAAGAAGTCTACCAAATGTCCTTGATATTGGAAAATATCTTACAAAAGCATTGGTGCCTAATTTGTTTAAATATTTTAAGGGACATAATTTCCAGCTTTATTCAAAATGTTTTTCCTCTCAGCTGCATTTAGACGTGAACACATTCATAAAACATGCAAGATAACAGAAAATCTTAGCTGGCTTTTGTCCAAGTATTTTGTACAGGTGTTTCCCAAAAATTAATGATTCACTGAGACAAATATGAACTGCCTTATTATATTCATTGTGTGACTACTGTATTATTTGAAAAGTAAAAAAATGCCCTCTATGAATAGCTATCATGTTGCAAGCTCTGCTTTGTATGCAAATCAACTTAAATTGTTAGTTGGTGTCCAGTGAAGAAAGAAGTCAACAGTACTGTTGCCTTCCGAGAATCTACATCTTCAAACACTGCAATCTTTGATTTTGAAGTGTGTTTTAAATTAGTATTATAAAAGCTCTATCATTCTGTGTTGTGTTGTGCCATGTAGTGTTGTTTTAGGATGTTTTTTGTGTCAATCTAATAGCACTTGTGAAATGTGAAACCTAACAAATCAAATGTCTTACTTGTGTGAATCTCAATCATTGATGGTTCACTTAATGATTGACTGGGCCCAGATGTACCACTCACTGCAGTAACTGTGATGTTTTCTAACTTTCCTGCAGTCTCATACCCAGTACATTTAGCACTGTAAGTGTCTGTACCATTCACATAATCTACAGTTGCTTCTTCTGCTGTACCATTAGATGAACACTGCACCGTGTAGGTATCTACTATATCCCCAGAATAACTACTCCATGTTACAGCTATTGTATCAGTGGTGATCTGAGTTTCATCTCTAGCAAGAACAACACTGTTGGGTTCTACAAAAAGAAATAAAACAGGAAAATTATTATTCAAACCAACCTGTTGATGTTCAATTGTTAGCTAAATAATATTACTTTAAATTATTGACATTATTCGCTTTAAAATGAACATTGTCAAATAGCAATCGGGAGAAGGAAAAAAAGAAAACAATTCTAAAATTACTGAAAAATGCATTGAGTGTGAAATGCAAAAACAAAAACAAAAAAATATTATTATTCAAACCAAATCAATTTTTATCACAATCTGTTCGCAAACCAAACATTATTTTTCATTTTAATTAAATGTATTCAAAGTTGTACATTGTGAGAAACATAATGACTAAGATAAAAGAAGTTATCCCATATTTTAACAAAGGAGTTAATTCATTTCTATTAGTGCCCAAGAAAATGTACTTGTCATGGTTACAGTGCAGACACGATTGTTGTATTGTAAAGGCCATAATACATGAATTTGCTTTCGTTAAGCCATCCATACATCATACCATGTTGCATGTCGACTGTTCCCAACATTTTGCAACTTGTTGATTGAAATAGACACACTCTATTCATTGCAGTATGTTTCAGATTGTTGTGGCACCATGTTTATGTTGTCTTGAAACATGATACTAGTACATAGATAATAATAATACCCACAATGTTTCAACTTTTAAATTGTCAAAAAACAAGGTCTTTCACAGTAGCACTTCTATGGGATTGACTTACTAAAATGAATGGGTTCAATTATCAGTGTTCACTGATGACATCATTGACTGGCCTTCTAGAGGCGAATTAACGCCATGCAAAGTGGTCGTTTGTCGTCTGCTTCACAGTCCGTTTTATACCCGATATTTAGGGAATTTCGCTGCACATACAAGTTGTTTTTATCGACAGAATTCATTCATAAATCTCAAATTTCATGTACAGAGTGTCAAAAGCCACACCTCTGCCTCCATTTAATATTCAGCTAGCCCTAAAGCTTGCTTTAAAATCTAGCATAAAGTCTAAATCTTTTTTTATATTTGTGAATTATTTGAAATATTTATTTTTTATTATATGAAAAAAATATAAGTTGGAATTATAGATAACAATGATACACACTTTAAAACACGCAAGTTTCGATGAAAAGGCAAAGCTGAGAGCCAGCTTAAAAGTAAAGGTTGTGTTGTGTTGCGTTGTGTTGCGTTGTGTTGCGTTGCGTTGTGTTGTGTTGCGTTGCGATGTGTCGTGTTGTGTTGTGTTGTGTGTCAACCTAGTTGGAATACTTAAAATAGCACTTGTGAAATGTGAAACCTAAC